AAATCCTATGGATTTTTACTTTGTTTTTTAATTTGACCCTGACAGTTATTCTAATAGATAAAAGCTTTCTTATTCAGTTCCTTTCTATGTAGGGTCCTGATGGAGTTGACTTGGAAATGAACTTGAATGGAAGCCATTCCAAACAGTTTGAAGATGATTTTGATGACCTGGTATGTTCATATGCAATTTTGTGTATTGAGATCCAGGTTTTTCTACCTCTCCCTGTAAATTAATAGTTTAATAAATCAAATTGACTTGTGTGCCATATTTTAACTGTTACTTTCATCTTTTCTTCAATTTCATGTCCTTTAGTAAGAAGTGGTGCATTAAGTATACCAGTAAATTACAATCTAAGTCCATGTGAAAAATGAGTAATGTTTCAAGCAACACAAGTGCTAATTGAAGAACAAAGGCAAACTATGTTTCCACATTGCTTCTGTGTCCCAGTATTTTCTCTTTGCGACCAGATGGCGTACACCTGCTCTTGGGTTTCGTATGAACTTGATTGTTTTCAGGACCTTTGATAACTTGTACTCCTGAGGTTTGTATTTTAATAGGACTGTAATAATATGTTTCTGACTAATTTTCGTGTTACTATATAGAAAGTGTCAGTAAATTCTCTGTAGAAAGTGTCTCTATAGAAGATCTCCTGACTTGATAAGGTTCCGAAAATCATCTACCACATGCTCTTGAGATGTTGGTACTGGATATCTACATTGCACATTTTTTTCTCCGTCTGAGTAATTTTTTTCACCATTTAACTGGTATTTTTAGGGATTTAATGAACATCAAATGGCCAGATTAAAGAAAAGTGAGGCTTTCACAGCAGAGAGGGAGAGAGAAATTCAACAGGTAAACTGAATGTTTTGGACTTCTTCAATGTCACTCCCCTGAATGACCTTGCTTTTACATTTGGGCTAATGTTATTTTCCATGGATCTGTAGGTTGTGGAATCAGTTAATGAACTTGCCCAAATAATGAAGGATCTGTCGGTCCTCGTGATTGACCAGGTAATAAGCCACAGATATGTTTTATCTAGTAGATGCACTCAAATACATAGTGGATGGTGATGAATTGCATTTCTTTCCAAGCAGGGTACAATTGTTGATAGGATAGACTACAATATCCAAAATGTCGCTGCATCAGTTGAGGAGGGCCTTAAACAGTTGCAGAAGGTCTCTATCCCCATTTGCTTTAAGTTTCCCACTCGTTTTATATGGTGTTTCTTCTATGACCTGTTACCTGTACTCTTGACTCTTCACCTTTCCTTTTCTTTTCTATAATAATTTGCAGGCCGAGAGAACACAAAAACAAGGGGGGATGGTTATGTGCGCCACTGTACTTGTCATCATGTGTTTTATCATGCTAGTCCTCCTGATTCTGAAGACGATATTACATATTTGATGCATGAAGATACAGTTACACCCTCTACCATTTTTGGAACCCTCCCCTGCACTTACAGTGGAAGCATATTGCTCGACTTCTGGGATTTTTGGCTGATTTCGGTTTCTACACTGCTTTATTTTTTTTCAAATGTTTTGTTTTCCTAGGCCTGAGGGAGAGGATGGTATTCTTAAAAGGTTTCTATAGACAGCTCCAGGGACACTGTATAGAGGCATTTGGTGTTATTCAGCAACGGTAGATTGGAAAAGAAAACTTACACTTAATTTTTTTCCCTGGGAGAATTTTGTAGCATTATTCAGTAATGCTCATCTTTTGGGATGAGGTAACATAAGTTGTCTGTATCTATAAATTGTTGAAATGCAAAATGAAGAAAATCGTTTTTGCATTTGACCTGTGTCTTTTCATTGAATTTTTGTAGTAGTTCCAACATCAGAGCTAGGAAAACCCTTCCAGTAAATCGCTTTGTGCAAACTCTACTTAATGGAAGATACACTCATTTTTGCTTTTACATTAGTAGATCTAGTGAATGTGGCTGTACGAGGAGGACACAGCCGTCTGGCTCTTTCTCATCTTCAACTGTTTCGATGATTAGATCTCTGCTTATTGTAAAAGTGAGCCTGAGGAATTTGTCATGTGACTATCCTCTACCCTGGATATCCGCGCTCTCGCGCTGCAATCGAATTTCGAACTCGAGTTTGCATTTTCTACATTTACCACTTTTTTTTTAAATTAATCATGCTTTTACAAAAAATAAATATTCTTCACATGGCCGTACTCATAGGCACTCGCTAGCTAAACTCAATAAAAAGAATAAAAAAAACCAGACCTTTTCTTGCATTAATTTGTGCATCTTTGAAATTGATAATTAAAAACTGAAACACAAATGAATTTAGTTTTAAAAGAGACAAATTATGAGGCGGTTTGGGCTGCCATTTTTTTTTGGAATTTTTGTAGAAAAATGTAGTGTAACGATTTAATGTATGTGAGGTAAAAAAATGGTTAGGAAATATGTGTACAAAAAGCGTAAAATTTTTTTTAGAGCAAAATAGAAAAGAAAAACGAACTCAAGCGCTTCAACTCCTTTTTGGCTGTTAATAAAATGATGGAGTGCCATAACTATTTTCAAGAATGCCAATATCATCTATCTAAAATACATGCATTTAATTTCTCAGATACCTAATCTTAACTATTAATCTGTATCAATTCATTGGTTCTTTTGTAATCCATGGTTTTTTTTATAAAAATTTTGTCTATGGAGACACTGTTCCTGTTCATAATCCCTTTTTTTTTTTTTAATAATAACAATATGGGGACAATGGGTAGCGTTGGAAGCCTACCCAGCAATACTAGAAAGTGAAAAAACAAAATACTGACTCGCAATTTGCCAAGCTTCAGGGGAGTTAAATGTAATTAATCAAAAAAAACATGGAGAAGTAGGAGCAGACAAAAATATCCGTTAACCTGAAAACCCGCCATATCCAATCAAAAAATTAGTATACCCGTTCCTATTATTTGATCGGATCAAAAGAGGGTCGGACACCCAGTTAGATGTGAGGCGGTTTAGGATCATATAATTAAAAACTCGTAGGGCATCCGACTCGCTCCGCATGTATATATATTATTTTTATACGCATACTATAAAATAATACGTTTAGAGTTAAATAAACAATTTCATTGAACAAATTGCATTACAAATATAGGATACTATAGTTTGTTTACGAGATTTATTTGTAGAGGTTATGATCTTATGTTTTTTAGAAAAGAGTTTAATTTATATAGAATATATAATTAAAAAAATGTGCTACTTGTTTTTAAATTTTTATTGATTTTGAATTCTTTAATTTTTTTTCTTGTATTCTCTTCACATGTTTGTTTCTTAGTAGGGGACTTTTTTTGAAAAAAATATTTATTAAATCTTAGATGAATATATAAAATATAAAGTAAAATTAATATAAATTAATATTTGTTTTTAAATAAAATAGGGTCGGATATTCATTGATCCGACCCTATTTTAGCGGGTATCCACTAATATACACAAGATAAAAATCGAGAAAATGGTCAAATTCATCCCTAAACTTTTTGTTAATGTCGATTTAATTCTTGATTTTTGTTTTCGGCCAATTTGATCCCAATTATTATGGTTTCAATTAATGATCTCTACGCCGTGCCACCACGAAAAATAGATCAAACTCCTAATTTATCAACTAAACAAGGGTATTTTAGGAACTTTTGATATGTCCTCCTTGCACCATCAATCTCCACCACCTGCCACCTCCCTCCTCCTCTCACCCTTCTTCTCCCACCTCTTTTGCTCCTCTCTCTGTTATGTCAGTCATCTCTATAAATTTTGCAACTAAGAATCGATCAGGAACAAGATGCGATACTTTGACTTCTGGGATAGAGAAGGGTGCGAAGAGGAGCCAATGATGGAGAGAGGGTAGAGTTTGGGAGGGATTTGAGGGCCAAGATATTCCAAAAACTAAGCAAAGAGACTCCCTTGGATTGGTGAAGCCGAAACCATATGATGCCCCAAATCTAGATGTTGGGTAAGTATCGGATCTGTTCTAGTGAAGATCTAGACATGATGAAGTATGTTGTTTTTTTGGTAATCATTAGGAATGATTTTGTTGATTAAGGTGGATCTAATCCAGTGATTCTCTACATACAAGTAGTAGTAGTAATTTGAGTTTTGTAAGCATTATATTATCAAAATCAAATATAGGACCAAAAATGGTGGATTGGATGGAGAGTGAAGAGTAAATTCTCTTTTTTTTTTTAAATTCATTTTTATCCTCCGTCCATGGAAGAAAAAGGGCATGTTCATATATGTAAAAACTGGAGGACTACTGGAGGCATGATTTGATGTATCACTTATACCCAAAGCTACGAAAAACTTTATTTTAATGTATCCATATTATTTTTGCAGTGTACAAGTTCAGCAAGGCCAAAATTTCCCAAGAAACTAACAAGGATTTCATGGCTTCGCCTAACACTCATCATCCACCACAACAAAAGTCATTTTGATGGCTGCTTGGGATAATCCTTTGATTCCTGCTTTGAACTTGGCATGGCTATAGCTGTGTAGGAGCAAGAAAGAGAGAAGCTTTTACTGCTATCTCTTTTGAAAAAGGAAGCCTCTTCTTCAATGTAAGAAGGATTGTGTTTTGGGCTGCTCAAGGACTAGTTAGTGGGCTGCAACAAAGATGATGGACATGATAGATGGAGGGAATGGAGAGGTCGGAGAAGAAGGGTAGGAGTAGAAGAGGGAGGTGGCTGGTAGGCCGTAGGAATTGATAATAGAGGGAGGAGATATCTAAAAGTTCCTAAAATACCCTGTTTAATTGGTCAACGTGGAGTTTGATCTATTTTCCGTGGTGGCGCTGTCGTAGAGATCCTTAATTGAAATCATAATATAAGTTTAGAGATCAAATTGACTGAAAACAAAAGTTAGGGATTAAATCGATATTAATAAAAAGTTTAGGGACGAATTTGACCATTTTCCCAATCAGAAAATGGCTAACCCATATGATGTGGGTCGAATTAGCTTAATGGTGAACGGGGCGGGCCCACCAACCGTGCCCACCCCTACTTAAACGGAGAAATACTTCTGAAGCCGCCAAATTCTAAACTAAGCCACAATACTGTCCATCCTGCGCGACGAACCCAATTGTCTTTTTGAATAAAAGCTTACTTTTACACTCTGATTTAGTTACTGAAGATTAATTACGTTAAGCTATGAGGGAAATCGTTACCATCCAGGTTGGGGGCTATGCGAACTTCATCGGTTCTCATTTTTGGAATTTTCAGGTAATTCTTTATCTTGTCAATTTGCTTCTGTTTTTGGGTTCTTTAAGTTCACAAATTATGAAATCCTAATGGGCTTATCTGTTTTTGTTTTTTGTTGTTTTTTTTTTATTGAAAAGGCTAATTTTTTTAACTAACATGGTTGAAGGGTGTAGAAAAAAATTAACTTAATAATGTTTTGAGTTTTAATGGTGCAAACTTTATTTCTCAAGGTGGGGTTTTGGAAAAGCATAGTAAGTAATTGATAAGTCGTTAAAGTTTCAAACTTTGACCATGAACCTTGTTGGGGGCAAGAAATCATGGTTCTTTCATTATGTGATATCTTAGTGGTTCATAAATGAGAAGCTGTTACCAGTGATGTTTGATATCTAGTAGACAAAAGCTACTTGGTGTGATGTTGAGAATAGATGGGTGAAGAAATGTATATTTTGATGAATACATGCGTTGAAGCTGATATTTGATCATGATTGATGATCTGGGGTAATGAGTAATCATGAACTTCGCCGATTTATGGTTGCTCTAGTGAACAGATGGGGTACTATTTTTTGCAAGTTTTTGGGATTATAGGTTGGTTTTGGGAAATGGTCAGATGGAACATTTGAATTTGAAGGAGCAAGTTGTGTCATTAGGTGTAGTACACGGTATGCTTCAGGGCTCATCAGTAGGATATGTTGTTTTTGTAATGGTACTTAGTCAATAGTTTGGGTGCTCTGGCATGGTTAACTTGATGGTTTATAGTTGATCAAAGGGTGCAAGATTTATTTACGTTTGGATCTCAAGCATTATACATGACCTGGTTGGAACTTTTCAACTATATGTGTGTGTATGTCTGTCTTCTTGGACATAGAGAGCTTATTTGACTGGTCACTATTTGGAGTGATGTAGGTTGTGGAGTAAATAAAAAAAAGGAAAAGAAAAACATTAACAAATAAGTTAAATGCACCATTTGCTGTTATGATTTGATAGAACATATTAAAGTTGATGCAACTGGTTATATCATAGAATGTTAATGGCACATTTTGACATTAAAATTTTTTTTTAGTTGTATTGGTTAACGTCTGTCAGTTTTACTGTAGAAGCTATGAAATCTTGGAATTGTTCTAATGGTTTGTGCAGACTTAGGTGGGATTTAGGAAGTAATAGAACTTTGATGCATCTCTTCTAGTAAAGCTTATTCCTTGTTGCCTGAAAAAAGAAAAGGTTATTCATTATTAGTTTGTTGATTTTCTCTTTTCTATTGAAACATATATATTTGGACTATAACCTACTTTAATCTCAAAAATTTTTAGGGGTAATGGAGATTTAGGGTGGGATTTAAATGATGAATAGAATTTGATGTGTTTCTTATTGGATCAGTATTAGTGTTGTCTTCTTCCTGAATCATGAAATTAGTTTCCTTTCCTTCTTGAAGGATGAATTGCTTGGTTTGGCTGATACTTCTGAGACTAATCCAGCATTCAAGAATCATGGTCTTAATATGGATGTTCTCTATCGAACTGGTGAAACACAGCAGGTGAATGTAGCTGAAATTTTTATGCTAGCACATTTTGGTTCAAGCACCTTCATATTCAAAATGCCTAGCTTTATACCACAAATTTCTTATTAGTTCTCATTTCTCTGGCAAAATCTTCTGATATTTATCATTCATGCTAATCACGTGCAGGGCATTTTAACATACACCCCTCGCCTGGTTTCAGTAGATTTTCAAGGTATATTATTTAATTGTGATGCTGATGGTCATTCATACTTACCTCTGTTTGGTCTAAGTTGTAGGACTATCTGATAGTGAATCGGGAATTTTTGTGAAGTCCTTATTCTGTGGCTTACACCTTACTTTCAGGGAATTAAACTAAAAGATATTAATTTCATGTCAATTATGTCTCTTTAAGCATAATTCATTGTGATTGAGATTGTTATTCAAATATGTGATTTGACAGGCTCACTTGGATCGATGAGTTCACGTGGAACCTTATACAACGAGGCTCCTTCTAGACCAATGGATGTTGTCTCATGGTAAGGGTTTGAGCTTAGATGCTTTATTTTGTTTTCTCTTAAGTTTTTTGTTGTATGAGCAATCTTTAAAGTGAATAGCTGTTTCACATTATGGTTTGTCTTTGATGACATTGCTTAAAAGATGATAAACTGATGAAAAAGGCACATTTTTACTTCCTCTTGCATATTGAACTGCGAGTGAAAAATGACTAGAATGTAGCTTTCCAGTGCTTGATTGTTATTTTTTATTTTACATGGTGTTGGTGAAGTGTAGAACTGCTACATTCATATGGGTTTCCATTTTTATACAGATAGCAACTTTAACAGTAGGATAACCTTGCAATTTGGAGTTGGACATTGTGTAAATGGATATGATCTTCGATGGTATTGCTACATAATAGTCATTTAACTAGTTTTTGGACTCTATTGAAATTTGAAACTCGGAAGCATTTGAAAATATGATCCTGAACTTTGACTGCTGCTCATCTCCCTTTCTTTCTAAGTAAAATTTTTTTTCTAAGATGAGTAGGTTAAAGACTGAATGTCTTCTCACCAATCTGCAGGAGTGGAAAAGTTACAACTCAGGCTTCCGCGCCTCTAAAGAAAAACCTGTTCCTTCAGAGTTTATATCAAGAAGAGCAGGAAAAGATGGATACAGTGAACGGATTTGACTCAGGGAAGAATGAATCTCAGAATGAAATCCAGGACAAGGACATTGTTGAATGTCTAGAAAATGGTGTTCAATATTGGACAGACTTTTCGAAAGTTCACTATCATCCACAGAGCTTATATGAACTAAATGGGCTGTGGATGGATGGTGAAGGGTTTGACAACTATGGAATTGGAAGGGATGCATTTGTTGGGGCCCGACATGGAGAAGAAATAAATGACAGGCTTCGTTTTTTCATTGAGGAGTGTGACCATATTCAGGTAAAAATCAAATGTATACTTTAGTTTAATTTCTGTTTTGGCAATATTTCCTATCTTCTTATTAACTATTGTATTGTCTGTCTTTCCTCATTGTGACGTAAAAGTGGTAAAGGGAATAAAGGATATGATTTGTCTGTGTCAAAACTTCAATTCAAGCTTGTGAGCTGGTACCTGGGTGTTGTTTTTGCTATCTGCGGGGGTTTAGTCCTTAAAGACAGTCCGCTGTTATGAGCAGAAAGTTGAAGAAATAACATCATAGTCGCATTGAACCCATTTAATATGTCCAAATCTTCACAGGAGGCATTTGTACAACATATCTTTAACTTTTTTGTGTTGATAGGATAATGTTCAAGGAGTCTGGCTTTGGTTGGACCTTTTGGAAGATTGTGATTTGTTCCAACAAATTAGGACTTATATCTAGTCGGTGTAAACCTTCATGTTCTTTTCTAATTAAACATTTCTTTAGATACTTATGCGACACAAAGGTATAATTAAGGGCTCATCCAGTAATTAGACTGCCTTCTCACTTTTGTATTGTGGAAATTCTGAAACAGTAGGATCCTTTTTCATAGTTACTTGGTCTGTCCAATGCAGGAAATTCCCATATTTGCTTTGGCCTTTAAACTCGAATGGGATGCAAATCGTCTGTCTCTGCCACACAACTTATGTTTCTTTCCTTTGCCTTTCTTTTGGGTCTATCAGCTATAATTTTTGACATTTCCCTTCTTGTCCTCAAGGAAAGGAGAATTAAGTTTACATTTTTCTTCTGTTTCTCTTTAAATTTAAAGCTTTAAATTTGGCACTTTGGTGCATGCTTTGAGCCTTAAAATTATGCTGCAACCTTGACAATCACAGTCGGTTATCATGTAAATATCTGCACTTTCAGGGGCAAAGATCCTTGACATGGATCTCACGGATCTTGCTATTATGCTTGTGCATTTTCTTCCTTTATTGGCAGAATGTCTTACTTCAATCTTCCATACCCTTCTGAATAGGGAATCCAATTTGTTGTTGATGACTCTGGAGGGTTTTCTGGTGTAGCTGCAGAGTTTCTGGAGAACATTGCAGATGATTACACCAACATCCCTGTATTACTATATTCAGCCCGCAATCCTCGCTTGCACATGACCACCAAAAGTCAGAAGCAGTCAATCTCTAGTAGTCTTCATGATGCAATTTCATTTTCAAGATTATCAACCTTCTGTAAACTGATCGTCCCTGTTGGACTACCCTCCCTGAGTAAAAGTGAGCAGTCCTCATTCCATAAAAGAGTTTTACTTATATGACCTGTTCTCTTATACTTGTCTCCTCATTCATATACATTTTGTGGAATACCAGATGATCCTCTTGAGCTCATTGGAGCTTATTTAAGAACTAAAAATCAGCGCAGTCTTTCTTTTATGGTTCTACCTCTTCTAGTTTAATAATGACATGAATGTCTGCAGAACTTTATATGTACTCTGCTTCTGTTAACGGCTGCCCAGTTGGTTAGTCAAATTCTAGAAAACTTGCATTGACTCTTCTGCCTGGAAAACTGTGAAGGTAAAGCTTCCAGGTATCTTTGCATAGACGATGAGAAGCCTTACCATTCCAGTGCAGTTTATGCCTCTGGCATGCACTCCATCAGCCTCCCTTTTCGAATGGAACCTATTGGGCCCACTACAGATCTGACCTGTGCGTCTGGTGCACTGGATATGAACGAGGTCATACATATGTTAGCTGGACAAGCAAGACAGAATATGGTCACTATTTTGGATGTCGCTATGCCAGCACCTTCTTTGATTGGTATGTTGGTCTGCCTGTTGAAATTTGACTTTTCTTAGTTGTTAATTTCTTTAGCTTTTTAAGTTTAATTCTTATGCATAGGGAACCAACTTGAGCAATCCTTGCTTGAAAATTTGGAACCTTTGACGCCTGAGATAGCTGAAAATGTTGAGGACTTGCAAGCAGTGGAGGCCATGTCAGTTCATGGAGTACTTGGGGCAGGTATTTGGCTGGTGTGCTTTAACTTATTTATCTTCGTCTTGTCAAACAAACATATGTGAATTAGTCTACCTTGCCTTAAGTTTGTCCATGTTGTGCTAGACTATACTGATATTTGAAAGCTGTGCAATCATTTCTCTTTCCTGTCTGGTTTCCTAAGAGGATGTTTGGACTATGGACTACTCAACAGCACACTTATCCACAGCATTTCAATGTGACAAGAATAGTAAATCATGAAGCTATATACAAGATTACAAGCAAATAAAGAAAAATTCTTAAACATGTCCAGCACGTAATATAAAAATTATGCCCTCCAATTTTATTTGATGAAATGTAGAGATTTCCAAGATCTCTAAATAAGATGCAGGTTTCTTTAGCTGTTTCTCCATTGCTATAAGCTGATAACTTCTTGTCATCCCAAGGATCATCTTCCTTTTCCCCACCTTTATTTGTACGCAAAACACATGTATCTGGAACTAGTTGGAAATTTGCAGCTAATCATTGATCTTAATTGTCTATTTAGATGAAAAAAGAAAAAAAAAAAATTATCTAATCAGATGATTCAGATTTTAACCCATTATCAAAACTATTTAATTTTCCAATTTGGTTATAATATGCAGAGGTTTATATTGGAGTTTGTAAGCCTTTGCGAAGCCAATGAATGAAGGTCCGGTTGAGCTTTGTTACTCGTGGGATTCCAGAGTTGCTTAGAAGGCCTACCTACCCTTAGTGTAACCATAAAATAATTTAATTTATGCTTGAATGGACAAATTGTTGCAAGGAAACTAGCCAGTATATCATGAAGTTTCCATATATTTGAGGCCACGAACTGCATTAGCAAGAATGTTTAGACTACCAAGATGAAAGCATATTCTACTTGGACTCCTTGACGAGTAGTTAATAGCTGCTTTGTGGTTTGACGCTTAATCTGCTTCGTGGGAGAGAGAGTTACAGAGTCAGTTTGTTTAATTTTTATCTTTATTTTTGTTTCTTTTCTTTTTAGGAGTGCACGAAGCCACAGTTTCTGAGGTGAAAAGTGCTGTTCAGAATGCTTATGAAAAGGCACTGCAAAGACCCAGATTCTCACAGTTGTCTGTGTCTCGATGCCCTCTTCCCATTCCTCTGCCTTTTCCCTCAATCTTTGGAAACCTTGTTGGTCAACATGGCGAGCTGTTGGGAACCCCAATTTTAGGTTCTCCATCAAGGGGATCCCTTGATGTCCATTCCATTCCCATGGCAGCAAGATTACGTTCCAGCAGCGCTATTTTGCCATTTCTGGAAAGTAGATTGCACAATCTTCAAAGGTTTGGTATTCAGCGAGGAGCGCTTGGAGCCGGACTTCTTAGAAGTTGGGGTTTTGGCAAGGAGGAATTGGTAGATGCTGGAGAGGCACTGTCTAATATGGTCAGGACTTTGAGTCCCTATTCTGAAGAATCATCCGAGTCAGATTAAGTGGCTTAGGATTTTCAGGCCCTTTGTGAATGTTTCTCTAGTTTGTGAAGTTAAATAGATTTTCTTCACTGCTTTCACAATTTGAACTTGTTTTAAGTTCATTGCCCAAAAGGAGGAAGCAAAAAAAAAAAAAAAGGGATTTCTAGGTTACCGCTTGTTTTATGAAATCTTGAGTTGATCATTAGCCAAATCTTTAGCAGACTAGGAAAAACAGTAGCCTCAAGTATCAACTGGCGTGAAGTGGTATTGACTGTTTAACCTTTGAGGTGGTTGAACCAATGCAGAAATTAGGTTTCCATGTGCTTACTTTCGTGAACAATTATCTGAAGGTGTTTTGGCATGTTTCAAAGACTAGAGAGCCAATAACTTAGTAATTCCGATAACTAGAGATGCAACTGAGAGAAAAGATATGCATCTCTAAATGGCTTTGCAGGAACGTACAAGTCATACTGAGACCAGATTATATATCAATGGAGCAAGGAAAGACTGCCAGCTGAGCCAGGCCTTTTCTTTTCCATTACAATGCAGCAAGCTAAATGGACTCGGGGGTTACTTGCCTACAATTACCATTGAGATTGTCACCACCAAAGCCAACCTCATTCCATCTGCGGTTGATTGGGGGAATGTCTCCAGCAAATACCAAAAGAAATGGAGGCAAGGCTCTAAGGCCGTAGATCCTCTATTCTCTCTGAACTTTCATTCATTCTTCAATCATCTGAGTGTGTTGAAACTTAGTCCATTTAGCCAATTCAATCACCATAACACCTGAATGGATGAGCAGCTAAAGTTGAATTAGGACCTCGACAATAATGTGGCATTGCATTGTTCTATAAGAGGTTCATCTTAGGCTTGTCTGGACAATAGTCACAATACCAATGTAAGCTAGATAAAGAATTGCCACGGGACGTCCACAGAAGTAACTAATACAAGACCATATATGTGCATCTTAGAAGGAAAGACACGGGTAAGGCCATCTTGATCTAGATAGATAATTTTACCAGTATTTGTGACCCTTATAGTAATTCTGCATGGTGTCAATTGTAGGCATGCATTTAAGCAAACTTGTAAAAACTACAGCACGCAAGTGGCTTTGATCAATAAAAAGATCATGCTGAAAGACTTTGAATGCATATAGCACTTCATCTTTGTTGAAATAACACGGGTTCCTGCCGGAGAAGACTCAGGAGAATTTCGTCTGTGACCAGAAGTTGGCAGTGAAAATTTGAGTTAAGTTTACATGGCAATATTCTGGTGATCCCACGGTTGCTGAGGCAAGATTTATCCTCCAAAGTTTTGAGATATCGCTGACCAAGATAACATCAGAATTGAGGTAGATTACTCTTTCCAGACAAGGCTCAAGAAGGTAAACCAAGTAATTTCTTGCATAATTAAGTGGTTGTTCATGTGTTTTTTTTTTTTCACAGAGGAGGACCTCTTGTCCTTTACAATATCAGGACTGAAGTAGTATGCCTTGTATTTCAGTGATGGCAAAATCCATTTAAGAGGAGACTGAAGAAGAGGATTTGTATCAGAATATATGAAATGGAAAAAGATGTTTTCAAGTATGGAATGAATAGCAGCAATCGTAGCAAAGAATGTACTGATTACCAGGGTCATGGCTCTATGAACAAGAGAGGGGTTACATGCTACTTGAGTTGGACGATTTGTGTCTAAGGGGTTGCTGCTGAACAAAGTTGCAGACGAACATTCATTGTTTTCTTGTATATTCTTGAATAGCAGCGGTTTATTGTAGCAAAATTGTTCAAAGTACAGCTGATTTCTTTATGTGATGAAATGAGATGATCTATTAGCTTCATACTAAAGCGGCAAACTTGATGATTGCCATAATTTTGATATGCATTTCTTAACAAGTTTATGCAAATTTTCCAACATAGTTCAGTAAATTAATCAGCTAATTTGCAATTGAATTGGAGCCAGACGAAGACACAAGGGCAGATGGACAATGGACAGTGGACTTGGTTGTGGGGAGGGTAACTTAGCAGCTAGTAGTAAGGTTGAAACATCGGGTGTGTGTATAAAGTAACAAACTGTAGGATGTAACACCCAGCGGGATCCTGACATGCATTACCAACACTTCCTGATAACATTCATCTGCATGAAACCAAAGCCAGTAAAAAAAAAAAAAGAAACAAGTGGTTTTGACTTCAGTTTTTAACCGAATTTCCTGTTAACTAGTCAAAAGAGATTGTCACAATGGTCAAATGCTTAGGTAACTCTTTATCTCTGTATCACTGGTGCAGGCAGTGCATGCAAACATGGTTGTACTTCTTGACCTTAACTGCAGTAATTAAATACTTTTTAAACTTTTTGCCAATGTATCTGAGGCATTAGCTGGGAACTTTTCAACAACCCAATCTTAGCAAAACAGAGAGAAAATATGCAGTTATTGGTTACAATGATTGGCCATACAAGTCATACTGAGACCAGATTATGTCAAGTGGGCAAGGCTTGCCAGAGTCCAGCCTGATCCAGGGCTTGCCTTTTCCACTCCAATGCAACAGGCTAACTGGACCAGGATGCAGTTGCCTACAATTACCACTCAGATTATCACCACCAAGGCCATGCTGATTCCATCTGTGGTCGATTGGTGCAATTTCTCCTGCAAATACCAAAAGAAATGGAGGCAATGATCCAAGATCATAGATTCTCTGATTTCTTTGAATCTCCATCCATCTTTCAATCATCTTTGTGTATTTAAACTTTCTCCACTTGACCAAGTCAATCACCATTACACCTGGGAAAAAGTCATCAGCAGCTCAAATTAGCACGTAGTCAACTTTCAGAGCCTCCCCTTTTTAACAATGCCATATGTTCAGGTAACTGTTTTAAACTTAGAAGCAAGTCCTCAAAGAATATTTTATGCAAGTCCTCTAGAGTCTTTGCAGAGTTCTTCTACATTGAGAGTTTCCACCCAAGACTGATGTAGAATTACGATAAAAAATAAGGGATAACTGTGGAAAAAACCCCAATAGCATATATGGTGGTGCATTGTGAATGAAACTTATAGTACACTACCAACTCAAGACAGAATTAGAAGAAAAATGGGGGAAAAAAAATTAAAGAGACACTACTGTTTTATTTATCCACCATAAATACCTGCACTTAAGCAAAGGAGAAAACTTGGAACAATAACGACATGCATTAAAGTCTGCACCTCAGGTGTCATTGTCTTAACAGGCTTAAAGATAAAGTAAACAGAATAAAGAAAAAAGTAACAAAACTTGACATTTCACCTGTATTGAAGTAACAGGGTTTCCGGCCAGAGAAGACTCTGGAGAATTTCTTCTGTGACCAGAAGTTGGGAGTGAAATACTTTGTGAAGTTTGCATGGCAATATTCAGGTGATCCCAAAGTTGCTGATCCAAGACTTGTCCTCCATAGTTTTGATATATCATCAACCAAAACTACATCAGAGTCAAGATATATGACTCTTTCCACACAAGGCTCAAGAAGATGAGCCAAGTAATTTCTTGCATAATTCAGTGGCTGTTCAAGAGTTTCTCTTATAGTGGATGATATCTTGTTCTGTACCGTTTCAGGGTTAAAATAGTATGCCTTGAAATTCAAGGATGGAAAAATATCTCTAATAAGGGTTTGAAGATGATGATCAGAATCCGAATGTATGAAATGGAAAAAAATGTTTTGTGGGCAGAAAGCATTCTGCAGAATGGAATTAACAGCAGCAACTGTGCCACGGAGGAATTGAGTATCAAGAGTCATTACTAAATGAATAAGAGAAGGATTGCATACTGCCACTTGCATGGGATGATGGCCATGATTGATCATCATCAAAGAATTGCTGCTGAAAGTGGAAGACAAGCATTTGTTGTTTTCTCCGTTGTTGAATGGCACCGACTTCCTGTAGGAAAACTGCAGGTGGGGAACTGAATTTTTCTGGGAAATGATTGAAAATGAGGTTGATCTTATGGCTTCTGCAGGAGGAGATGATTGAAAAGATGGACAAAATAGGATGATCCCGATTGAAATGGTCACTAAATTGGCAACCTTGACGATTGCCAACATTTTCTTTATCAGAAAATCTTGGTGTCTATTTCTTCTAGACCTATATCAGAAACAGAAAATGTTTCAAGAAATCAATCAATCTTCAAAAAAAAAAAAAGAACACAAGCTACAAATTAGAGACTGCTTCTCAACGTTCTTTTCTTCTTGATCCAATTTTCAATCTTTCTAAGGTGATCGATCATATATAACTCAACAAAAACAGATACTACTACACACAGACATATGTGGAGTGGTGGAGTCCTTACTAGGGGATGAATTGACTTAGATATCTGAGTCTTTACCTTTTAAATTCTTGACAATTTCTCGCCCCACTGACAAGGTGAGAAATAGTGGAAATGTGGAATGCCAAAACTAACCGTTATTTAAGATGTGTCCATCCCAACAGACATTTTTTAATTGATCACAAATGCATATATATATATATTAATAAAAAAACTGAATTCTATTTCAAAATGCCTTAACATTAAACAAGTTCTTTAATAGAGTATTTAAGTTGACTTAAATGTCATCTGCAAATCTTAGCAGCCTTAAAACCACTTTGTCATAAGTTGATCCAGATTGACATTAAATTTTCCGTCATAAATTCGAAATTTCTTAACAATTGTGAGATTAATTGAATGGATTTCATGCAATAAGTTGGATTTTTCTTCTAGAGGTCAGGAATTCATTACCCATAATTTTTGTCTATGCAACACCAGTCAAGTAATTCAGCAAGCCAAAATTATGACCCTATAAGTTTTATACATTTCGGTATTTTGATTTCTTAATTATTAGCTATTTTTTCAGGAAATGAGTTAAGTTTTTTTCCCACCTCTACATCTTTCAATTCTTCTCAAACTAGATTTATTCTTTTTTGGACCTAACAAGTTTTATATTCAATGATGGAATTGCTCCATGTTATATGCACAAATAATTTTTTTAAAAAATAAAAATCCTTTTTCTTTAATTCTTAAATCTTACAATGTAATATTTAGTTAGGGAAACTTGGAAGAGTGCATTATTCTTCTATTCTTTGAGAAGGAAGAGGCAGATTTGAAAAGGAAAGCACAGCGCAATGCGCATTTGAAGAAATCTTCAACTCAATATTAAACTAATCAAAAGACACACCAAATTAATTACTAGTCACCAAACTCAGTGGACATAAAACATAAAATAGCAGCATATATCAACACATATCAACTTTCTTTCTTTTATTTTTCAGATAAAAAATTTAGGGATTTCATATTTTTTCTAAGCTCATAAGTTAAGCACTTTTTTTATCCCCTTTTTTCCCTACTCTTCAAATTTATGTTTATGCATTCTTCTCAGTTCTACACGCCCAATGATCTTTAAAAAAAAAACATTCCAAGAACAAAAATACCATTTCAATTTGTTTCATCCTAATCTCGAATTTATTATTATCAAAGTCATTAGTGCATAAAATGGTATATATAAATGTTATAATACATATTTAGGTGAGTGATGGATGAGAGGTGATTTCAAAAGCACATGCTTTTGCTACGAGGAAACGTTCTAACAATAATAATAATCTTTAACAACTTTTACCCACCGAGAAAGAAAAAATATGATGGTACTAAGCATCCGATGGATCCGTGGAGTTTGACGTAAGGGATTTAATAATATCCGATGGCAATTCACATCTAATTAATTCTCAGACCATTTCCAACGTCTCCCTCTTTGATGTCTTCGTCCTTAAGCAATGGATTAATCCCAAGAAAATTTCAAAGTGATGAGGTCGATTGGTTAATTGGGCAAGGCAAACTATGTACAACTTTCAGAAGAGATAGAAGAAATAATAATAATAATACAAAAAAATCTTGGCTAACTAATCGTACGATAATACTTTTCCTTTCTTTTTGTTAAAGTCAATTTAAGCATTGTACTTTTTTCTTCTTCTTTTTTTTTTTTTGTTTTTTATGAAAATCATTATTGTACGTTACTCACATCACCTTCGATTATTAGAATAAGTTTCCGCTGCATTTATATATTTTGGAGTAAAGTGGTTATATATACTCCTCCCTTTTTTTATAACTGACGTTTAAGGTTTTGCACACCAATTAAGAAAAGTTTTTCATTGCTTAAATCTGTACATTACTTTCCTTTTGTACCCTCATTAATTGTCCAATTCACCAATGTTTTCTCTCACTAGAGTACTAAATAGTGCTGTTTTACTAGGCCAAAAGTAGTAATTAAGAACCCTGTATTGGAAAAGAGAGATAAAAGGGTAAAATTGTGAAAAAATAATTACTACTGTATGGGGATAATAAAACGACAGATAAAAGTACACTAGAGCAAATTTCTTAAACGTCAGTTATAAAAAAAGGGAGAGAGTATATATGTGTGTGTGTGTGCGCGCGTGTGTTCTGTGCGTATACTTCAGAGCTGCAGCTACTAGAAAAGGAATACTCGCAGGTTTGGATTGCTAACTTTTGTGAAAAAAATTTTATAATTTTTTTTATCTCGCATACATCATATTGTTATAGTATATTTTTTTACAAAAACTCTCAAAAATCTAAATCCGAACAATTAGGGATTATAGAGCTAGCTAAATTGCTTTAGGTGTAGTAAGCCTTTCACACTTCTAAATTCACAACATACCAATCGCCTGCTTCAAAGTTCAAATGGGAAGGGTATGTAGACATTTTATGCTTCACGTGGCAGATGACTAATAGCATTAATATTAGGCAAGACCTTATTATTTAATTGTTGATAAGGACGATTGGGGGGATGCTACTGGGAACTCCAAAGTCCAAACTTCAACCACTTCCTTCTTCACTTCTATAATCATCGTATGTTAAGAAATCCAAATCAAGAACTGTCTATTTCAGGTTTTCCAGACGATGAGCCTAAGACCTTTCTTTTCTTTTTTAAAGATGTCAAGACTTTAAAGTTGGGTAAAACTTATTTCACACCGACACGAATGACCACATGACAAAAATTGTAGTGATTCTTAGCACTCATAATTGAAGAGTCTTCACCTACCGCATGATGTAGACACCACACAACCAGGGGACACGAAGGATTTAGAGTACTCCCCTCTTCTCGTTTCGTTTCATTAAGAGTATCATACTTTCTATTTTGAGATATTTCAAATTATTTGTCATCTTGAGAAGATCAATGCAGTTTTTACTCTCTCCTTCTAATGTAATCCCACCCTTTAATCATATACGTGTTATCATTTAAATTTAAATTTTAAAATTATGAAGGTAAAATTAGAAAGAGAAGCACAAACATCACAATCGAATTACTATTTTTAAAAAGGTTGAATTTCCTAAACATGACAAAATAATTGGATCGGAGTGAATATAATATATCTACTTTTTAAAATTCTTTTTCTTAAATCTCCTCGCTCCCCACATCCTTTCCACCTTACAACAATGAGACACAAATAATTTAGACTATAATAGATATACTTTTTTGTTAATTCTTTCTTTTTCTTTTTCTTTTTTTTTTTCACTCTCCCACCCCTCCTCACATGCTCTTCACCCCTAACTGCCAAATATAGAATTCGAACCCCGAACCTAGTGGAGAGGCAATTAGGCCGACCCCAGTGATTAACTATAATTGATATACATATGTATTATAAATAATTATTACTTAAACTCTGTTTCTTTTTTTTTTTTTTTGAGCCCGTTTCTAGTGTTAAAGATACTTTTGCCTTTGTCAGTGTAGACTACGACTAAACTGACCAAGCAAATGTCTTCTTAATTACTTTAACTTTGTAATTTTTGTTTGATGAATTCTTTTTCTTATTTAAAGGCTCATTTTAATTAAATAGCATCAACTTGTCTCTTTGGGGTGTGGAACAGCAAATGGTTGATTATCAACAGGGGCTTGGTTCAGCTCTGAGAAAAGGACTGATCATAGTTGGCGAGTCTTTTTTGTCCCGTTACTCCTGTGGGCTGTGGCCTAAACATCATCTCCACCCATATTGTTTGACTCAAAGGCAAGCACCGAAGCCCAAAATAGAAGGTTAACTCTGATTCTGCCCAAGAAAAATAAAGGACAACCAAGGGTCCAAACCCATGATCCAGCTCGAAAAGCTAGGTCCGGATATTTGTCAAAAAACTTCTGCCCTGGGCTTTGGAAAATGGCATCTGAAGCTATCATCCAAAGAAAAATTATGGCCTCTTTTGAATTGCTATTTTTCACAGAAAAATTTTTACAAAAAGTTTTCACTAAATATATTTTTCAATCATTTTTTTTTATCTTACATACATATATATATATATATATATATATATATTTTTTTTTTTTTCTATTACAACTCCTAAAATAGCAGTCCAAGTGGGCTCTTAAATTCCACGCTCTTCCCATTCTCCTTTCAGGTCCAAGGCTTCGTTTGAGAGTTTTGTATCGAAAAGAAAAGAACAAAAACTTTAATTTGTGAAAGAAACAAAAAGAAGAGAAGAGAAGGAAAGAGATTTTGATATTATTCAAAAGTGTAGGAAAGAAATGGATTGATTTTGGATGTATACATAGATAAAAATGTGTTCTAGACATATAAAGATAAAATTGACATTCAAAAGGTTTGTATAAAAGTTCCAGCCAACTTTTCGTCCTTTTTTCACCTAGATTGGGCAGAAAACATTTTCAAACTGAAGCATCTACAGTATTAGTCCAAATCAGCCAGTTTCTTTTCTTTTCTGTTCCGAAAAAACTTCCAAACAACTGAAAGTTTATAGGTCCGTGTAGATTAGATATTTTTCAGAGTGTTTTTCAACAATACTGTAGCATTGTATGTCAAAAAAAATTTGTCACTATTGATGTATTTTGAGATATTTTTTTAAGTTTTAAATTTTATTGAAATATTTTTAAAAAATTATTGAATATTTCATCATATACAACAGTCTCTCTTCCCTCTTATTCTCTTCCTCTTCATCTCCTCCCCTCCTTTCTCCTCCTTTCAATCTCCTCTCTCTCCTTCTAGTTGTGACGCGACCAAAGGAAGAGGGAGGAGAGAAGGGTTATGAGGGAAGGGAAAAAAAGGAGGGAAGGAGGAAAAAGGAGGGAAAGGGAAGAAGAGGAAAAGCAACGACGATGAGAAATAGGAGAAGGGCAGTGATGACAATAGAGTAGGGAGGAAGGAATTGGATGATGGCTATTGGTAGTGATGAGTGGAAGAAGAAAGAGGCACTAGATTTTGTTATATTTAAAAACTTTTTTTTGTTATTTTGTTAATTGCATTTGATATTGTCTATTTGAAGTATTTTTTTGGAATGTTTTATTTGAAAATCGGAAGAATCCAAATAGATCCCCACGTTTATTTCCCTTTCTTTTTCTGCCTGAATCCTCTAAGTCTAAAACGAAGCCTAAACCCCCCACTATTATCCTTTTCGCTTGTAAGGTTTGAAATTTGCTTAAATCAATCATGAGGCCTAGGATCAAGTCCCACTTTCTAATCCAAAAAATGCAGTTAAACCATGTTGATCTGTATAATAATGGTTTGTTTGGATACCCCAATTATTTCAAATAATATTTCACTTGCATCATAGACACATTTTCCAACCCACCTTTTTATATTCTCAATCACCTTTTTATCTCACATACATCACATCACAAAAAGTGCTACAGTAATTATTCCAAATAATATTTCAAATAATACACTTTCCAAACAAACCCACCTAACAAATAGTGTCAATGATTCATAACTAAGGAAGATCTTTTGCAAACTTCAGCAAATGACATTGACTTAATTAGTTCATTTGTACCATTACACTACACGTGTTTCTTTAGCAATCAAGGTTAAAGTATCAAGAAAAGACATTTGAAGATGATTAATGTTTTCTAAGCACAATGCTCACTGAGACTATTTTTTTTTTATATAGCTCCAATTCGAAACTTGCACGTCTCCTATGGCTAGTAGGCGCATGGAATTATGAACTAAAGCTCTCACTGTAAAACAAACTCATTTTTTTGAGTTTGTTTGGATAGGAGTTTATTTGGATGATTTATTTGAGATAATTACTGTAGCACTTTTTGTGATGTGACATATGTGAGATAAAAAGGTAATTGGAAAGATAAAAAGATGGTTGAAATTTGTGAAGCAAATTATTTTATCTGAAATCAAGTTAGTCCAAACTAATTGATCAGAACAAATTACTGGCCACCAAGAAAGGGTGTAGGTGGGGAGTTCAAACCCCACCTGCAACAAAAAAAATTTAATGGAGGTGTCATAACGTCTCCTTGGTCTAGTCAAATCTGCATACATACTAACCTCCCTAATACACAATCCTCCTTAGACTCCTCCTCGCTGTAAATTAGGATAAAATAAGTTATACAATTGTTATCATTGTCGGAAAAAAAAAATCAGAACAAATTACTTAGTTTTCTAATTTGATGCAAAATTAAAAGACACATTACATTTTCTTAGAAAAAAAAAAGTACTAGTACTAAAAATCAGAAGAAAGCAGGATTGTTAATCAGTTCAAATGAAATTGATGACAACCTTTGGACTGTTAAAAATAGAAAGATTTGGCAATGACCATCAACAACGTCCAAAAACAAAAGAGGGCATATTGAAGCTTTATGGTTATGGATGGACAATAAAGAAACATCAATTCTTTATCATCAAAACATCATTATATGTACATTTCCTTTAGCTATGTACAAATACCAGCCAAAAAAGAACCAAGAATTGTAAGTCTTTCTTGGTAAAGGCCAACATTCTTAACCATCCACTAGTAAAGGCCCTAATCATAGACAAAGTCCTAATTGAAGTCCAAACTAAAAATTAAAAAAAAAAAAAGAAGAAAAAGGGCAAACAAACAAACATACGAACAAAGGTACAATTGGGGTTAGAATATGTTCTGAACCCCTTTTACTCCTCAAGATTTTGCCTTTCCACATCAAGCAAAAACAGAACCACAAGACAAAGCCATCAAAAGCACAGCAGCCTGCTCAACCTCTCCCAACTTCCTATGATGGATACTTTGCCTCTTCCTCAATACTGGAGACCTCTGCCTCTGATACAACACAACCCCTTGACCAAAAGCCCTAAATCTCTGCCTCCATCCCACGCTTAGCTTACCACATTTCCCATCTCTAATATTAGCCCTTCTTTTCTTCTTTGCTATAGTTTCTTCATGTTTTTCTTTCTTGATCTTCTCTTCCTCCTTGTCCAAACCCACTGTGGCTGTGGATGTGGCCGGACTTGTGCCAGTGGCTGCCCTTTTCTTTCTATGTCTGATTCCACAAGCATTGCATAGTGACTATACCATATATCCCCCCCAAAAGGAAAAGGAGAAAAATTAAGAACAACCCGTTTACTAGAACAAGAAACCCACAAATAATCACTGAAAAAGTTTAACAATTCTTTTACCTTAGGTCCAGCAGGGCCACTTCTCCATAACGGTGTCTTGGTAGTCTTGCAATCAACACAGCATTTCTCGTCCACAGTTCTTGTGATCATTTCTTGAGGAGGCAAGATTTCTTCCTCTACCTAAATAATGAAAGACAAGATCACCAGTCAAAATATGGCAAAAAGGGATAAACAAAACAAATGCAAGATGGTTAATGATCGATGAAGAAATTCATCCCATTAATCCACCTTTTTGTTTGGATCCATGATGCCCTTTTGCACAAATTCTAAGGTTGTGTAACCAAAAAAAAAAATGTGCAACTTAAGGTATATGTAGCCAAGTTTAAGGTAGCAAACAGAAAAATCCTGAGAAAACAAAGTTGCTTATGATCAAATCATCTCATTTTCTTGAAAAGAATGAAAGAAGTAGCAGTAAAATGAAAAGGTCGAGGAAGAGTAAGTGGCGGAAGGGGGGAATATAAAAGACCGACAAGGAAAGATAGTGGGGAACCGACATGCTTGGCTGGTCGAACCGGGCCACCGCAGACGGATAAACCCTAGAAGTTGGAGTGAAATGACGAAAATAGGCTTGAAATCAGATTTTGATTACACTGTAGCCCGCCAAAGAATTGTTATAAAATTGGTCGGAATGAGCCAAAGTGGGGCGCGTGACCCACGTGTCGGCTTGCATGCACCAGTGGGGGATACTTAGCAATTCTACGGCTGAGGAATACAAGTGCCTATAATGTGACTAATTTTTTAGTAATTATCTTGGTATGTGTTAGAATAATTTTTTTATTACTCCTGTTTATTGGAAAAGGATGGACTACTTATTTATTTTTGCTTAGGTTAACAAAATAATTTCACATGATAGACAGCGAAAATATGATTTTGTGTATGAATTAGTCAAAGTTTTTAACTGGCAAGTCTCTATGCACTTCTTCGTTGAAGCGTCACTTGAGTACGTTTAGATTACTATTTTTTTGAAATTTTAGTAGAAAAATGTATTATAGTGAATTGATATATGTGATATAAGAAAAAGTAATTAAAAAAATGTTCACAAAAGATAACGTTAGTTTGGGGGTAAAGTGACTAAAAGATAACGTTAAGAGGAAAATTGACAGTTGCACCAAACGTTAAGAGGGTAAAATAATAATAACCTGTAAAATTAATCTGAAAAAATGTCTAAATGTGTACAGAACGCCTTTAAAAAAGTCCTTGATCAAATAAAGTAGATATGTATTTTCCAATTATAACATATAATCTATAAAATAAATAAGTATTTAGGATTTAATTGTATTCTAATTCCCTATTTTTATTCACTTATACATTATTATTAGTAAAGAGTATTCCATGAAGCTTCAAAATTTGGGTTGTATATAACCACTCAAATTATTTAAGATCGTATAGTAGAAAATTTGTGTTTTGCCACGACGATATCATTTCTATAATTTAATCTATTTTGCTCTATAGATATCTATGGAAAGTAATCTAAAAAACTTATGTAAGGGATTAGTAAGCATACAAATTTAACTAAATCAAAAGTACTTTAACACTGTTTTTAAATTTTTTTTCAATACAAGTGAAAGTGAAGTTCGAATTTATGATCTAAAAGAGATTAATCCTCCTTGGTAGCCACGGATCCAAAGCTTAGTTGTTGCTTTTTAGAATTGATTCAGGTAGTCTGGTGGAGTAATTGACTCATTATAGCGTGTCAGAATTCTAAAACAGGCCTTTCCACGTCCGTTCTTCCACTTTCAACTGTGTCAGTGAGCGTCATCATTCGCCATGGAAAGGCCAAATCCGAGTAAATTATGGCGTCTAGACAATCTAAAATGATTAAATTAATTAAGTTGCAATTTGCCTCATCAATTATTAAAACTTTTTAGTTTCTTTTCTGTCTCAACCACCAAATCTAGGAAAAAAAACTTAGATAGACCTGATCTTGTAGAGATATAATTGTGTTGTAAAATTCGATTAAGACCTGTTTGATAATCCAATTCATCACTTAAATTTTAACATATTCAAATGCATTTGATAACAAAAAATAGAATATTTGAATAATATAAATAGCACTAAATTTCCTAATCAAAACTTGCTCTGAAAAAATAAGTGACATATTTCATATTTCAATTTTTAAATTTCAATTTTATCAAACGCACCCTAAGTATTACTACTTACCTTGTGCCTCTACAATCCAAATTAATAACTCAACATAAACTCCTTCCCTCACTTTCCCTCATTTCCTGCACCTGGAGATCGTAACTGGACAATCTTCCTGTTGACAAAAAAATAAATAAATAAATAAAGACTGAGCAATCATACATTTGGTAATACAAATATGTATGACAAGGTAATATACATATTCTGTAACAAGTAGTAGCTTATGGCAACCCGTTACACGGTTGCCATAGGGTGTGTTTGGATCCTTGTTTTTGGAGCTGTTTCTGAAAAACAGTTTTTCACATCCCAAATGCTACAGTAAATGTGTATTTCTAAAACAACTTCAAAAATACCATATCCAAACATTATATCAAAAACAACTACATATGTATATTTCAATTATGTATATTATATATATATATTATATTAATATAAATTGAAATATACAAATTGAAAATTATATATATTATATATTATATAAATATTTATATACATTAATATTATACATTAATATTATAATATACATAATATAATATACATAATATGTAATATTGTATACATAAATGTGTAAATATTTATACATAATATATTATGTACATTATATTATAATATATACATTATTAATGTATAATATTATTATGTACATTATTGTGTATAATAATGTCTAATAATGTTAGGTATAATATATAATATACATAATATGTAATAATGTAAAAATGTATATTATGTATAATATATTATATTATATATATATACAATATTATGTATATTATACAAATTGAAAATTATATATTATATATTTATATATTATATATTATATGAATATTTATAAAATGAAATATACAATAAATATTACAAATTGAAATATTATATAAACACCATATTTATAATATTATAATATTTATAATTAATATTAATGTATATTATATATATATATTAAATATTTATATATTTATTTTTACATATTATAAATATTTTACTTTACTTAAAATTTTTTTTACATATTTATAATATATTTATATGAATATTATATATTATATAAATTATATATAATATAATTTATATTTTACATTTATATAAATGTACATTTATACATAATATATATATTAATGTATATTTATAATATACATTTATATTATGTATTATACATAATATAATACATTTATATTAATATACATAATATTAATTTTACATTTATAAATAATATTAATACATTTGTACATTTATATGAATTATATTAATACATTGATACATAATATTAATAAAATTATAATTTATACATTTATATAATATTCATTTGTAATTTATACATTTATAATAATATACACTTTTACATTTATAAATATATTTATAATATGTATTATATGTAATATAATACATTTATATATTTTTATATAAATACATAAATATATTTATTTATAAATATTTATATAAAAAAATATAATTTATAATTTATAATTTATAATTTATAATTTATACAGTTATGTAATATTCATTTATAATTTATAAATTTACAATAATATACACTTATACATTTATAAATATATTTATATTATGTATTATATGTAATATAATACATTTATAATACATTTATATATTTTTATATAAATACATAAATATATTTATTTATAAGTATTTATAAATGTATTATAAATGCATAAATGTATATTTATATAAAAATTATAACTTATAATTTATACATTTATATAATATTCATTTATAATTTATACATTTATAATAATATACACTTATACATTTATTAATATATTTATATTATGTATTATATATAATATAATACATTTATATATTTTTTAGCGAATATATAAATATATTTATTTATAAATATTTATAAATGTATTATAAATGCATAAATTTATATAAAAATAAAATTATATAAATTATAAATTATAAAAATACCCAAAATATGTTTTAAAAATATCTCTAAAAATAATCCAAAAAACATCTATAGTAAAAGTTTTTCATATAGTTTTTGAAAAACAATCTCAAAAACAACTAATCCAAACGGACTTGTATTTCAAAAACGAAATGCTACAGTGCTGTTTTTGAAAAACAACCCAAAAAACAGCTAATCCAAACGGAGCAATAGTCTTTTCTCAGAGAAATTGTTGGAAGGATGCTTCAACTAATCAGGATAAAAGAAAATAAAAACAAGAAAGATATGATACACAATAATGAATACATGTGAAAAGGAGTCAATACATGGATTTGGAATTTGCAGAGAGACAAAATGCCCCTAAAACCCTGAAGGGTATACACACAACATGAGGACATTTTACAACCCAACCTACTCAAGTCACCTTTTATTGTGTTCCTGTTTTGCCAGTCGGAAAAGGGCGACAAGAATTAGTGGGAGAAGTTCGGAAGAATAGTTTGGCCTGCACTTCCGGTATGCCTTCTGCCAATACGTACAAAATTACAAATAATTTGTTGACAAACAAATTATACTTTTGGCATGTCGGCATTAGAACCCCATTTTATGCTTTTGCCAATGTATGACAACAGAGCTAAATGTCTGGTCGTCCGATAACTGTTATAGAAGAAGATCATCTGAAACAGCCCTATATGATAGATTGGTTAATGTAGGAGGAGGAGCTTGGAAGAACATCTAGAACTTGTCTAATTCATCCTTCACAAAACAAGCTGTGAAGAACCCAAGCTCTATTAATCCTCTGAGAACAATAAGCAAAAAATCACCAGTCCCGTTTGCTCTCTAACAGGAGTATGTATTCCACAGGTCAGAATGAGCGTGATTGGATTTTTCTTTTTCTGGGTCCCGGGTTAATGAAGTCAGCAGCCACAATGACAGAGAATTGGAGATCAATTATACAAGACAAATTTTCTAATAAGGATTTCAGCGCTTTTGGCATTCACATCTTTTCAATCATCTTCAAAAAAAAAAGAAAAAGAAAAAAGAAAATCAATGCTCTTGGAAGTTAAATAATGACACTAGAAGCTCTTGGAATAGGGAGAAGCAGTAGTGTCACTAAACCAAGGGAAAAACAATACCCCCGTTAAGTACAAGCTAGGTTTTGGGAGGGCCAAAATAACCCAGCACACGCTAAAATGGACAAGAGAAAAGAAAGAAATTAAGAAAGCCCGAGAAGAAAATTTTCAGGGTATTCAACCTTGACGCAATGAGCTTGGGTAGCTAGCTAGAAGCCCAATCTCCAAAAAAATTCTTGGAATAACGCTTATGCTGTCTGACCGAAGCTACTTTTGGTGTTCCAAATACCCAGCACCTTCCTGCAACTACTATCAGACAAGAAACGAGCAGGAACACTCCTGGCATCTAC